CTCCTAACCTCAGGTGATCCACCCACCTCGGCCTCCCAAAGTGCTAGGATTACAGGCATGAGCCACTACGCCCGGCCGATACTGTACTTTTAAACCCAAGTTTTTAATTTTGATGAAGTTCAATTATTTTTTGTTTGTGCCTTTAGTGTCGTATCTAGAATCCACTGCCAACTCCAAGGTCATAAAGATTTACCCTGTACTGTTTGTTTTTCTGAGAAGGAGTTTCACTATTGCTGCCCAGGGTGGAGTGCAATGGTGTGATCTCGGCTCACTGCAACCTCTGCCTCCCAGGTTCAAGTGATTCTCCTGCCTCAGCCTCCTGAGTAGCTGGGATTACAGGCACATAACACCACGCCCAGCTAATTTTGTATTTTTAGTACACATGGGGTTTTCTCCATGTTGGCTGAACTCCTGACATCAGGTGATCCACCCACTTCGGCCTCCCAAAGTGCTGGGATTATAGGCATAAGCCACTGTGCCCGGCCTACGCTTGTATTCTTCTAAGAGTTTTATAGTTTTCATTTTTACAGTTGGGTCTTTGATCCATTCTGAGTTAATATTTGTACATGGTATGAAGTGAGGGTCTAACTTCATTTTTTTGCATGTGATATCCTGTTATCCCAGCACCATTTGTAGAAGAGACTTTTCTTTCACATTGACTAGTCTTGGCATCCTTGACAAAAACCAATTGCTCATAAATGTAGGGGTTTATTTCTAAACTGTCAGTTCTATTCCACCAACCCATATGTCTATTCTTATGCTAGTACAGTACTACACCGTCTTGATTACTATAGATTGTAGTAAGTTTTAATGTAAGGAAGTGTGTTCTTGAAAAAGAAAAAAGTAGGAGGCTACTTAAGTTTTGGGTATTAGGAGCCCCTTGCAATTTCACATGCATTTATTTATTTGAGACAGAGTCTCACTCTATCACCCAGGCTGGAGTGCAGTGTTGTGATCTCGGATCACTGCAACTTCCACCTCCTAGGTTCAAGGGATTCTCATCCCTCAGCCCTTCAAGTAGCTGGGATTACAGGCACCTGCCACAACGCCCAGCTAATTTTTTATTTTTAGTAGAGATAGGGTTTTTACCATGTTGGCCAGGCTGGTCTCCAACTCCTAAGTCATCTGCCCGTCTTGGCCTCCCAAAATGCTGGGGATACAGGCGTGAGCCACCAGGCCCAGCCAATTCCATATGAATTTTAACATCAGTTTTTCCACTTCTGCAAACAAATGAAAAGGTTGTTGGAATTTTGATAGGGATTATGCTGGTGGATACTTTGGGGGGAGTATTGCTGTCTTAAATTTCCCTTAAATTTGTCTAGCAGAACACACAGAACTAAATCACACAAAGGGAGCAGTGGTAGGCAGGACACTGAGGGAAACACAGTATATAACTTATCTAGAGTAACTTTCTTATACTTAGATATACAAAAACAGTTATCTCCTCTCTTGATGTTACCAATTTCAGTGGTCTAGAAAATGTGAATATACAGGGGTAAATAAAAGTTAACATGACCGAAGAACTGAGAAGACAATTATTTCCTTGTTCAAGCTGCCCTCTCCCCAACCCCAGTCAAGATAAATGAGAAGGAGGTAGAGGACAGGTTATGGCTTTATGATTTATAATCAATCCACAGACCTGGGATAAGGGCCTTCCAATTCATCCTCAACTGTTTAAAACATTAATTTGGTGGAAGACGCCAGAAGCTTTCAAAAAGGAAATATTCCAGGAGGGTAGGGAAGTGATGATCACAGCATCTTCAACCTTTGCCTTTTTCCCCAGGACCCAAAAATGACCAACTGCTATGAACTGGGAAAAGAGCGCGTCTATTTGGAATAGCACAATTTTTTCATGTACTTCTGCATCCATTTGCTCTTTAAGATAAACCCCGTAAGGTTTACCAAACACAAGGACCATTTGCACCGTTTAATATCTGAAATCTTCCTTCATCCCCCGGTTGAGTGTTTTCACAGTGCAGTGGGTTTCTGCCTGAAATGCTGACAGTAAACATACAGTACTGTTCCTACTCAAATCACATCCATCTAGTACTTCAGAACACTGCCCTTCAACTTAGACACAATGGGTGACTTCTAACTAATTATAGTGGAAGAGCATGAACCCCAGGGCTGCTGCTGGAGGTTAAGTCACAATAGGGTCCAGGACAAGGTGGTTCCCAATGATCACCTGTGGCCCAAAGAAGCAGCTCCCTGTTATGGATGGCTTTGTTCCTTGAAGTGAGGAATTATGTGTAATTCGAAAACCCACGCAACATCCTGACCCAGCTATTGGCATCTCTCTTACACTTAGCCTACAGTGTTTGTTCAGCTGGTGTTGGTTGAATGCAGTGCTTTTCAATCTTGAGACCATCAGAATCATCTGTGAAACTTTCAAAAGACACAGGTTGAAAGATTTATTCAATAGGCCTAAGAGTAATGTCCCAGCCTTTCCAAATAAAAAAAAATTCCACAGGTGATTCAGTTGAGATTATTAGGTTTAAGAAAACTCTCTTCTCTAAACCACACCTTAACTAATTCATTTTATGTAAATAAATAATAAAGGCAGATTTGGGGTTGGGCCTCTAAGAGATTTAAATCCTAAATAGGAATCAGGCACTTCATTTTCAATCTGACTGGAAAAAAATAATCTCTACCATCCTAACTATCCTTCATATCATCCCAGCCATGTCCATGTTTATTAGCTGTTTAAATTTTTTTTCTCTATCTTATATTTTGAAATCTTAGCCTGATGGAATTATTTAAATTATCCAATCCTAAAAATGTTTACTCTGCCCTGACTTGCTATTCCTAAGTAAACCCCATAAATGATCTGGCCTAGACTTTCTACTTGTTCCTATTTTTTCCTCCTAACCAAAAGCTGATGCCTCCTTTGCAGCTCTGCACGTGCTGGCATGTCCCCTTTTCTTGAGAAATGTAAGAAAGAAATTATTTCAAGCCAGATGCGGTGGCTCATGCCTGTAATCCCAACACTTTGGGAGGATGAGGTCAGGAGTTCCAGACCAGCCTAGCCAACAAGGTAAAACCACGTCTCTATGAAAAATACAAAAAATTAGCCAGGCACGGTGGCAGGTGCCTGTAATCCCAGCTGCTTGGGAGGGTGAGGCAGTAGAACTGCTTGAACCTGGGAGGCGGAGGTTGCAGTGAGCCAAGATGGTACCACTGCATTCCAGCCTGGGCAACGAGAGCAAAATGCCATCTCAAAAAAAATAACATATAAAATAAACAGAAATTATTTCAACAGCACTGGCCTCTTCACGTTGTCACTTAGTCTCCTCTATAAATTAAAACCCCAAGACACCCTGCCCTACCCATGTTTCCGGGCTGCCTATCACTCTTGTTCTACTTTACCCAATTGGAAACCATATTACAAACTAACTTAGATTTCCAAGCCAGAGAGCAACACCTCCTAAATCCTTCATCTAGGAAAACCTCTTTGAAGGTTTTGAAACTCAACATACAGAACTGAATGTAGTCTTACCCAGTAATTCCACTTCTAGAACACAAAAACTTGTGCCATGAACACCAATGTTCATAGCAGCATTATTTACAACACCCAAAAAGCAAAAACATCCATATCCTTATCGCCTGATAAATGGATAAACAAACATGGTCTATCCATACACGTGATTATTATGCAGCCATGAAAAGCAGTAAAGTACTGATTCGTGCTACAAGGATGAACCTTGAAAACATGGTTAATAAAAGTCCAGGAGAAACAGCCAAGTATCACGATTCCAATCACATAAAATGTACTGAATAGGCGAAACCATAGAGACAGAGAGTAGATTAGTGATTGCCAGGGGATGGGGTCGGGGGATTTGGGGAGTGATTACTAATGGGCATGGCTGTTTCGATTTGGATTTTAAAACGTTATGGAATTAGCGATGATGGCTGCAAATCTACTGAAAACCAATGACCGTACACTTCTAAGTGTGAATTTTATGATAATAAATCTTTTTAAAATCATATTGTTTTCCCTGCAAACTGACTCCTTTACACTTCTCCTGTGTTCATTATTTCAGTAACTAGAAGCACACTACTCAGACGCTAAGGCCAAAAACCGGCAAATCGTTAACAATTAGGTCATGGCTATCCTGAATATTCCTCCATTCTTTTCGCTCCGCTTCCTAATTCAGGCCACTCTCATTTTCATCTAGATCACACAACATGAGCCTCCTAACAGGTGTCCTAGCTTCATCCGTTTTCATTGTAATTAGGCCTTAAAAGAAAAAAATCTTACACCCGGCGTGGTGGCGCACACCTGCAATCCCAGCGCTTTGGGAGGCCAAGGCGCAGGAGGGTCGCTTGAGTCCACGGTTCGAGACCAGCCTGGGCAACATGGTGAAACTCCACCCTCACCCCCACCCCCGCCCCCATCTCTATTAAAAATAATAATAATAATAATAAGCAGGTAGCGGTGGCTCATGCCTGTGATCCCAGCACTTTGGGAGGCCAAGCGGGTGGATTCTCTGAGGTTAGGAGTTAGAGACCAGCCTGGGCAACACGGTGAAAATCCATCTCTACTAAAAATACAAAAATTAGTCTGGCGTGGTGGCGCGCGCCTGTAATCCCAGCTACTTGAAAGTTGAGGCACGTGAATCTCTCGAACGCGGAAGGCGGAGGTTGGAGTGAGCCGAGATCGCGCCACCGCATTCCAGCCTCGGCGACAAGAGCAAAACTCCATCTCAAAAGACAAACAACCGACGCTGAAGTTGAAGCTCAAAGCCTTAACATGAAGTCCCTCCAATGCCAGACAGTGGCGAACCTCTGCCACCTTTCCCTCAGGCCCTGGCCGGCTTTGCCCCAGCCGCGCAAAAGAGCTCGGGCATCCCTCCAGGCCGCGGCACGCGCGGCATAATCCCCTCTCCACGTAGCTAACCCTCCCCGACCTCCAGGCCTCAACTCTCACGCCATCCCCACCTGAGAGAAAGCTCCCCGGGTCCCCAGGCCGGATTTGATGCCTATCCCCACGTCCCCCTCACCCTGTTCACTCTCCGCTCCACAGACAGGTGTGCCTAGAGACGGCTGCCATTATATCCGCGAACATTTCCTGTGCGAGCTGGTGAAGAACCAGACTTTATCTCAAGGCTGCCACAGTGCACTAAACTCGCCCTGACTCTTTCTCAACAATTAATAGAGTCCACGTGGGGAAAGCGCCGCTTCCGCCTCGCCCCGCCTCCTGCTGACCGGAAGCGCTAGCCAGCGCGCACCCGCGCCCGGGGCCGCAGAGGAAGACGGGAAGAGAGGCTGCCGCATCACGGCGCGCGCCCGCTCTGCGTCTGCGCACAGATGATTCGCGGGGGGCACGGGCAGCGCATGCGCAGGAGCGTGAGTCTCCGTTAAGAAGATGCAGCGGCGGCGCCGGAGGTAGGAGGAGCCGGGCTCTGGGGCTGGGAGTCTGCACCCGGGAGGCGGAGGTCCTGTCATCTCGGGCCGTTCTTGCTCTCCTGAGGGAGAAGAGCCTTTCTCGCCCGTCTTGCTCGCTGGCTCCGTGGCCTCGGCAGGCTCGCAGCCCCGACGAAAAGGGAGGAGCCGCGCTCGGGTGGAGAGGGACCCGGGCCCGCCTGTAGGGAGGAGGGTGGCGGATCCGGATCCCCACGGCGGTCTCCGGGGATCGGGATTCTCCGTCTGGCTTTAGAGCCGTCAGAGTCCTTGGCAGCCCTTTGCCCAGGAGTATCCCTCAGCCTCTTTCCCTAGGTCGCCGGGTTGGGGGAAGCGGGGGGGGGGGGGGTCCGCCCCGCACCGATCCATTCATTCACCCCGCGCCGGCTGTGAGCCGTGCGCCACGGTAGGTACGAAGCGGGGAGGAGCAAGTCCCCTTCCCTCTGGAAACCTGCAAGCTTGCAGGATCCCTTATATCATTCAGTAAATATTGATCGGGCACCTATAAGGGGACATAGACTGTTGTAAGGTTCGTATCAACAGAGATGCGGAGTTCAACCCAGTTGTGGAGGGTGGAATTTGTTCCACCCGCTCCCCACATCCAACAGGATAAAATTCACTTTGCCTAGCCTGACCTTCCAGGTCCGTGTGGGCGGGTCCTTGCCTCTCCCCTACACCTTTCCCTCCACTCCCATTTTACCGAACTCTCTGCAGTTCATGAATTCAACAAGTAGTTGTCGAGCACTTATTTTCTAGTTAGGCACCGGATCCGCCAGAGGATACAAAGTAAAATAGATCGATCTCTACCCTCCTGAAGTGTTGAGCTTAATGGGAAACAGATAATAAGCTGATGAATAAAAATAGTTTGGAACCACACTACCTGGGTTTGATCTCAGCCCTGCCACTTTGAAAGCTGTTCCCCAACTGGCTTTGAGCAATTTCCTCTTTCTGTTTGTGCCTGTTTCCTTGCTGTAAAGAAGGATGACAGGACATTCCACCATATACGCTTCTTGCAAGAATTAAATGAGTTTGACTTGAAAAGCAATTGGAACAGTGCTTAGCACACAGTAAGCATTCAACAAATATTATCTATTTCGTATGATTATAACAGTGGGCCTTGATAGGGATTAATGGGGATGGAGAGGGTCCATAGTATACTTCCCTAAGGCGAAGACACAGAAGAATGAGCCAGCCATACAACGTAGATTCTAGGTATTTTCAGCTATGGAAAACAAAATGATTAATCAGATTCCTTGGGCAGTGGAGACTGCATTATTGTATTTGAAAGGAATAACTTCTGCCATTGGGTCATTCAGTTTTGATTTTTGAACCCCACTAAGCTGTGCGCCAAAGCAAATAACCATGCCCAAAAGGCCCAACCTTTGCATGTAGGGAACATTTCAGTCCTCCAAGTCTGGAGACCCTCACTGGGTTAAGAAGATAGAGAAAAGTGACCTTTTCTCTCCTGAGTGTTCATGGGAATATAGTTTCTCTTTCTGTCTCTTACATTGCAGTATTTTCAGAAAGAGCCTCTTTAATAGCCAGGGGTCTTAGATCAGTGTTAGAGATAGTTTTCCTAGACTTGGGGATCATCCTGTTTCTATGGTGACTGCCTTTCATGGGGTTTGCTCTCCAAATTTCAGTTAAGAAAACACTCTCCCAAGATGCACATATTTTAATACCTGTGGAAGAGCAAGCTTTGACAGGCTTCTAGATCCTTCTGTTGTGATGTCTGATAGGATGGTTAGATTATGTTAACCAGGCTGGACTGAATATTTGACAATATTGTTATCTGAAGACTCTTCCCTCACCCCACATGCTTTGTCCCTCCCTGGAAGAAATGGCATAAAATGACAATGTCTAATTACACTTACATGCTTTTGGTTTTCCACAGATGTGAAATTAAGTGAACCACATATGCTTCATCATCATCGGGATCTTGGAGAATTATCTGAGCACCAAGTTCATACGTATTCTATCTCAGAGGCATCTATTGGACAACAAAACATTCTTTGAATTGTGAACTTTATTTTTTGAGACACAGTTTCAGTCTCATTGTCCAGGCTGGAGTGCAGTGGCACGGTCTTGGCTCACTGTAACCTCTGCCTCCCAGATTCAAGCAATTCTCCTGCCTCAGCCTCCCGAGGCTGGGATTACGGGTATCTGCCGCCAAGCCTAGACAATTTTTTGTACTTTTTTTTTCTATTTTTAGTTGGGACGAGCTTTCACCATGTTGGCCAGGTTGGTCGCCAACTCCTGACCTCAGGTGATACCCCCCTCGGTCTCCAAAAGTGCTGAGATTACAAGCATGAACCACTATGCCTGGCCCAGTTGTGGACTTTAACAGAGGGAAGCTTTAAACATGTTTCACCACAGCCCCAATTTGAACAAAGATACTTTAAGCATTATAGAGAGGAAAACAGTACTTTTTGTTCAATTGTGCAAACTCTCCAAGTATCTAATTGAGAAGTAGAGAGGAACCCTAATGAAACTGACTGTGAATGAGACTGAGCTAGGCTTAGGTTCACTTTCTCATCCGACTACATGTCCCTGGATTGACCCTCACTCCTCTGAAGACCAGCCTGAAAGCCTTAAAACTGGTCAGATGATGGATGAGTCTGATGAGGATTTCAAAGAACTCTGTGCTAGCTTTTTCCAAAGGGTCAAAAAACGTGGAACCAAGGAAGTGTCAGGAGAAAGGAAGGCACAAAAGGCCGCCTCAAATGGCACTCAGATAAGAAGCAAATTTAAAAGGACCAAACAAACTGCTACCAAGAGCAAAACCCTTCAGCGCCCTGCAGAGAAGAAATCTCCATCTGGCAGCCAGGCCTCTAGGGCTAAAAAGCAAGTGGTAACCAAATGCCAAGCAAGTGAACCGGCCCTCACTGTGAATGGAGAGGGAGGTGTGCTTGCCTCTGCTCCAGATCAGCCTGTGCTCTGGGAAACAGCACAAAACACCCAGACGGGTAACTGGCAAGAATCACTGCCAGACCTTTCCAGGGAGGAAACCCGAGGTAATTTGTACTCTTTTAAATCAGGGGCTGGAAAACTTTCTGGAAAGGGCCAGATCGTAAATATTTTGTTTTTGTAGGCCATACAAACTGTCACAACTACTCAACTCTGCTGTAGTAGTGAGAAAGCAGGTGTGGACAGTATGTAAATGAACAGGCATGGCCATATGCCAATAAAACTTTATTTATAAAAATAGGCAGCCAGCCACATGACCATAGTTTGCTAACTCCTGGTTTACTTTTTAATGTTTTTTTTTTAAGCTTAAAAAAAATTTAGATTGATGATGAGTCCTCCAAAAAAAACATTCCTTGGAAAAGCTGAACAAAATGAGTGAAAATTCACACTGTCGTTCTCAAACAAACAAAAAGAAATTTAGAACCGGAGGTCTCACTATGTTGCCTAGGCTGGTCTTGATCTCCTGGGCTCAAGCAGTCCACGAGCCTCAGCCTCCTAAAGTGCTGGGATTACCGGCATGAGCCACTGCGCCCATCTGATTCCTGGTTTAAACAACAGTCATGAAAAATACAGCCCGTGTAAATTTTTCACGATTATGTTTGGAGTCCTCTGCACTTTCAGAATTTTCTATGAAATTCTGTTATGTGGTTGACATGAGTTACACAAACAGCACAATAATACTGCTTCTCTTGTTTTTGGATTTATTCCAAAATGGGTAAGTTGGACTGGGCCAGCTAATTTGGATAGGCTGCATGAGGGTGCTGTGTGGGCCCAAGTCCCAGGAGAATCTTCAGGTTCTTTCTTTCTGTCTCTGAAGATCTTTTAATCTTTTCCTCTGTTGTTGTTATTGATTTATTTACTTAGTTTTTAAAGACAGGGTCTTGGTCTGTCACCCAGGCTGGAGTGCAGTGGCGCTGTCATAATTCAGTGCGGCCTTGACCTCCCAGGTTCAAGCAATCCTCTCTGCCTCAGCCGCCCAAGTAGCGGGGACCACAGGCACTCACCACCATGCCTGGCCAATTTTTTATGTTTAAAGCAGTTTTCCTGCCCTGCTGCCCTTGGTATACTGAGCTATATGCTTAGCACACATTCTTCATGCAGAAGTGAAGACCAGCCTTGCATATATAATACGCAGTGGGCTCTCTGAGCTCCTGAATTTTCTTTCTAGATTTTCTTGCCTTTACTTCCTGATCTTCAGTAACATTTTTTTTTTCTAATGTGGTCAGAATCACCTCTCAGTAGAGTGGTGGTAGTGTCTCGGCTCGCAGAGACTCTGGAAAGGCTTCAGCAGTGTTGCCTTACCTACTTTACTGGTATCTTTTGCTCTTTTCCAGTCAAATGAAATCTATGCATGATGCACACACCTGCAAAACTGCCACACAACTTCAGGGGGTTCATGGATCCCCACTGAAGATCATCTGTGGATCCCAAGTTAAAGAAGAACTAATCTAGGACATAAAACTTTGTATTAATATTTCTTTAATAACAGCTTTATTCGGATGTAATTGACAGTCCATAAAATTCACCCTTTAAAAGGGTATGGTTCAGTGGTTTTTAGTATATTCACAGAGTTGTCCAACAACCACCACTACCTAATTTTAGAACAGTTTTTTCATCCTAAAAATAAATCCTGTACTCATTAGCAGTCACACCCCACTCCCTCCTGTCATTGATATTTATGTCTATATTGCCATAAACGAAGAGGTTACCAACAAGCAACCAGTCCTCTTCACATCTGTGAGTCAAACCTAAACTAGCTGATAAACTTACACCTAACCTGTATCTGGTGGAAGAGTCTTTTATTTCTCCAGCTACAACAGATGGTTGTGAATATTTTCCTCCTTGCCAGAGAATGTGCCCGACAGCGACTCCCAGCCTCCTCCTTCCTGTTTGACAGCAGCAGTGCCAAGTCCCTCCAAACCCCGCACAGCAAAATTGGTCCTACAGCGAATGCAGCAGTTCAAGAGAGCAGACCCTGAACGTTTGAGACACACTTCAGAAGAGTGCTCCCTCCAGGCTGCGCCAGAAGAAAATGTCCCAAAGAGTCCTCAAGAGGAGATGATGGCGGAGAATGGTATAATGAGTGTGTTTCTGTCTTCCACACAGAGATAAGTTATTAATGTAACTCTGAGGAAGGGAGGCAGGAAGGAATCAGTGTTTGTTGGGTTTCTTCTGTGAGTAGGTTCTCTGCTTGATGTTTTACCTTTGCCACTTCACTGGATCTAGCCAGAGAATGAAAAGTCTCTCCGGTCATTTCTTACCTAGTTTCCTTGACAAGGTACCTCTTCCTGTTTTTTTTTTTTTTTTTTTTTTTTTTT